TCCACCAGTTCACATTTAAAGCGTATTAGCAGGGTAAAAATATGGGTCGATTTTCGCATTGGTCTGAACTCTGAACAAAACAACAGTTTTATTGAAAATGCTCATTCATTCTCTGACAGCAGGTGGAGCGTTTGGTAGAAATATAACTGTTTCCCTGGTAACGGCAGAACACAAAGCAGCGCAGCACCGGACTTTGAATGTGCAGCGCTCATGTTTATTTAATGAAATCATAACGTTAGCCTTTTGAAGTTTAATCGTCACATTCAGCCAAATCGCAATTCTGGTCTTTCCGTCCCCAAATTTAAGACTTTTTTTAAGACCCGCGGAAACCCTGCATGAGATGTTCATTCATGTTTATTTTGCATATAAACTAGTAGTAAATAGGAAGAGATGATCGCGCTGCTGTTTGAACTGAGGTGTTTATACAGCGATCTGTCACGCCACATCAAAGAGCGTCAAAACGGCATTGTTTGAATTTCCTGAGAAAAATTTGACATAATTTGAAAGATGAGTCTTTGTTTTTTATCAAAAGTAACAATATATAAAACTGGAAGTTTCCAATTAAGTTCCACTCGTGCAGTGATTAAAACAATCTATTTGCTCGGTACACATCCCAGATAGCACACGTACGTCTGCAAAATGTCTGTTAAAGATTGCTTCATCTGGAAAGCATCTGCTGTGTACAAACATCTGATAAATGTCATTTTATCATAAAGACATTTTCTAAACATCTGTGTATTGCAGATGAGCAAACTCTCTAAAAAATACGTCTTGCAGATGTAAATGCAGAAGTCAAACAGACGTCTCCGTGATGTACGTGTGCTTGTACCAAACCAAAAGACCAAATACATGTACCATTACACCCCTAATTGTGACACATTATTACAATTTAAATTAACGGTTTCTATTGTAATATATTTTAAAATGTAATTTATTGCTGTGATCAAAGCTGAATTTTCAGCATCATAACTCAAGTCACATGATCCTTCAGAAGTTATTATAATATGCTGATTTAGAGCCCAATTATTATGAATTACTTGATTATTATTTTTGAATTTTTAAATTGTAATAAATTTGTACAGTATTAATGTCTTACTGTATTTTTGATCAAATAAATGCAGTTTTGGTGAGCAGAAGAAACATTCAAAAACAATACAAATTTGTAATTATTTCAAAAATTTGACACCCAGTGTGTATTATGGGTATTTACAATTTTCTGCATTTTAAATATTGAATGTTTCACTGTTTTGCTTGCACAAAAATAGTAATATGTTAGTCTTATAATAAAACAGAAAATAAATGTTGTAGCATTTGGACCACAATTATTCATTATATTTAATGGATAATTCAGCAAACCCCCTCGCCCAAAAAAAGCAAACTATGAGTTAAAGGTCTGTGGGCAACCCCCAAAGAGCAACTAACACTTCTAAAAGGCAGAACAGGCCTCTGGCTACCATGGCAAGCAATAACAAATCATCTGATAACACTTGTTTCATTGCTGAAATGAATGCGGGCAGAGCAACTCTCACTCCATTTCCCCATAGGAAAGAGACAAAATTCCCAATAAAAATGGACTATACATCATATACACCTATACACCTACATATACATCACTCTCGCTTGAAGTTTAAGGGAAAGCGTGCTTTTTCTGTAGCTGGTCCTAGATTATGGAACAGCATACCTCAGGACATCCAGATCGGTGCCCTCCCTTCCTGTTTTTAAATCATGGCTGAAGACATATTTGTATTTCTTGGCTTTTGGATGAATGGTATTTTATGTATTGTAATGTGTACTAAGTTTTGTTATGGGTTATTTGTTGTTGTTTTTGTCTGTCTCTTTTATTTTCTTACTTCTTTATAGTCTCTACTGTATATTATTTGTTTGTGTTTAGCACTTTGTTAGACACTAGTTTTTAAATGTGCTATATAAATAAAGTGACCATGACCTTGACTTTGTTATAAAATACATCACAAACACACAATAAAGAGATCATAAAAGTATTACATTTACATTTAGCAGACGCTTTTATCCAAAGCGACTTACAAATGAGGACAATAAAAGCAGTCAAAACTAACAAAAGAGCAACAATATATAAGTGCAAATGTCAAGTCCCGGTTAGCCTAACGCAGTACACGTAGCAAGGTATTATATATACACACACACACACACACAAAGAAAAACAAGTAGATAGAATAGAAAAAATAGAAAGCTAGTATTAGTTTTTTTTAAATAAATAAAATAGAATATAAATAGATAAAGTAGAATTACAATAGAATAGAATGTGCTAGAGTTAGAGGGTCACATAAAGATGGAACAGTATTATATTTTTGTGCTGTAATCCAAATCTTCGGAAGAATTTGTGCTAATAATAAAATCTATTCAGGACCAGTGCAGGGCCAGTTATTGGCAATTAATTGGTTGAGACTCAGGACAGTTATAGCCCTTGTCTTTAATCCAGATCTTAGAATTGTTAAGATGGTTGTATCTTTAATAATCAATGAACAATCATAATGACAAAAAGCAGAAAACATAAATATAATGGGTTTGCAAACATCATAGTTTGAGATTATATACAGAGAAAAAAAGGCACAATGACAAAGTTAAATATCTTTGAATAATCATTATATTCATATAATCAATGCATCAAAATATTGCATTTGTTGTTTATAAGCCGGAGGGATGAAACAAGAGTTAAATTCAACAAGAAAAAGAGGGAAACAAAGGAGATTTAAGCCGGTTTTGCTTGTGGATGAAACATTTTCCACAAAAAATAAAGTAACAACATATTCAAGAGATAATGATTTTGGGTTTTCGTAATAAAAAATAATATATTTAAGGATTAAACTGTGGGTCATATTAGTAGGGTTAAATTTTTTTTTTTTTAAATCAACCCAAAATGTATTGGTTATACTACAATCACAATAAAAGGGCAGCTGTTTTTTCAACAAGACCACAAGATGAGGAAATTTCATAAACATCAAAATATTTACAGAGAGATCAATTAAACCTGTCGCTCGTATCTTTAAAGTTGTTGCACTTGTTATAACGTCTTAAGTCACATAACGTCAACATGGCGAATGATGCCTGGATCGCATTCATACTTAACGAGATTTGGCTGAAAAGTAAGTAAGGGAAACAGGTAAATTTAGCTCAAAGGGAATTATTTATGCTAAATTATTTATTATTATTATAATATATATTATTTATTTATTAAGGGAATTTGGACAGAATCAGTGTTTTATATGGCTGATCAACTGAATCGGCCATCGATCCACTGAACGGGCCGTATAACATCAACTCTGCAATGGATATTAATATCCAAAGTATAGTGAAAACACTATTTATTAGCACAGTAACAAGATTGGCAGTTTAAGACATTAACTTGTAAGTACAAAACACAAGATACTTCTCTTTTCAATATAATTAAAACTTTATTGGACAAATCTAAGACATTAATTAATCTAACACAAACACACGCACTCACACATTCACACAAGTTGCAGAAAGTGAGGAAAGAATGAGTTTAAGAGAGTGGAAATGTGAAATCCCAAGTTGCAGCAATATATGCAATTTCTTAGACCTGAACAACCATCAATCATTTAATTAGCCTCTATTGAGAAACTCATTGCGAGGGTTATTCAACTTTATATTAAATCCACCAGTTCAGCTAGAATCTGGAGGTTTCACTTGCGTTTCCGGTGTTAGGTGATTTAATGCGTGGGTTAAATCTGTTGGGGGTTCCCTCCGGTGGCATCATCCACTGAAAGGGGGTTTCCCAAGGTTGTTGATTGGCTGGAGGTTTAGTAGTCATTCGAAGTGACGTCTTGGGGAGCCAATCGTTGGGTGTTGGCTGAAGAATTATGCAGAGTTGTGGGTTGATTGAAGTTTTGGCAGCACTATTGAGGTCGAACTCAGACATGGCTTTGCAGAAAAACTCATCTCAGAACACGAGACTCTCAATGGAAAATAAAATAAACTTAAGTAAAAGAAAAAAGAAAACTATAACTGACAAACGCAAACTGAAAGGACTGGGGCTTTTGAACACAGGATAATTGGGAAGACACAGGTGCAAGGAATGACTAATTAAAGGGAACAAGGCACACATGGGGATGAAAACACAACTAAATGAGTCCAGGGGCGTGACATTACTCCCCCCTCCCGGAAGGTGCGTCCTCACACCGTAGAAACATCATGGGGAGGGGAATGGCTTGGGAGGAGGTTCCGGAGGAGGACGGATATCCGGGAGGAGGCCGGCAGACAGAGATCAGGGGGGCGACGAAGGAGGGAGGAGCCAGGGAGAAGACAGGAGGGACCCGGAGCAGGAGGAGCACAGCAGGACCCAGGCCACAGTCATAACAGCAGCCCACGGTGGAGCCGACGGTGGGAGGAGCCATGGAGGAGGGATGGACGCCGACTCCAGGGGGCCAACCAATGGCGGCGGAGCAGGTGGAGGAGGAGCCCGTGGCGGAGACGGAGAGCCAACGAGCCAGGGGGATGCCGAGGATCCGGGGGCCAGGGTGGAGCCGAGGGCTCTGGCGACCGAGGCGGAGCCGAAGCGACTGAGGCCCTTGGCAATTGCCTGCTCTGCTTTTAGCCCCAGCCCTGATTGTTGCCCTGTGTAATAACATCAATATGAACTGAAGTGATATCGATATATCGGCCGATATTCTTTGTGTATATTATAGTACAGCACCAGTCAAATGTTTGGACACTTTCCCATTCGTGTGTCCACACATTTGACTGGTACTATATATAGAATACAGTGTATACATAAACAGAATATATACTGTATACATAAACAATTTTTTTGCAATGATCACTCAAATGTGATGATCAAACACTTATAATGATATGACGTAGATTCAAAGTTTCAATGGTTTTCCATAGACTTAAGCTTCAAAAGCGTTTCATCCAGGTCGCCAGTAGCAAACAATGGAGCACGCTCTGCTGGAAAAACTAAGTAATCACACCTTTTCAAGCATTTTCCAGGGGGCCAACCAATGGCGGCGGAGCAGGTGGAGGAGGAGCCCGTGGCGGAGACGGAGAGCCAACGAGCCAGGGGGATGCCGAGGATCCGGGGGCCAGGGTGGAGCCGAGGGCTCTGGCGACCGAGGCGGAGCCGAAGCGACTGAGGCCCTTGGCAATTGCCTGCTCTGCTTTTAGCCCCAGCCCTGATTGTTGCCCTGTGTAATAACATCAATATGAACTGAAGTGATATCGATATATCGGCCGATATTCTTTGTGTATATTATAGTACAGCACCAGTCAAATGTTTGGACACTTTCCCATTCGTGTGTCCACACATTTGACTGGTACTATATATAGAATACAGTGTATACATAAACAGAATATATACTGTATACATAAACAATTTTTTTGCAATGATCACTCAAATGTGATGATCAAACACTTATAATGATGTGACGTAGATTCAAAGTTTCAATGGTTTTCCATAGACTTAAGCTTCAAAAGCGTTTCATCCAGGTCGCCAGTAGCAAACAATGGAGCACGCTCTGCTGGAAAAACTAAGTAATCACACCTTTTCAAGCATTTTATGTGTGTTATATGTTCTGTAAAAAAAATGTCATATCGGCGGCATATTCGCTGATACCGATATATCGGCAACAGCCTCATATTGGCCGATAATATCGGCAAAACGATATATCAGTCGGGCTCTAAATAACATAGGCTAATATATCCCTTTTTTATGCTATTTTACCGAGATGAGTGATAGCTGCATAGTTACCATTTATCTTTTGCACATTTTCCCTCTTCTTTTTTTCCTAAATTGGACGATTAATCAAATGCTGATTAATCATTAGTTCATGTAAAAGTGATATACATTCAGTTGCAGTTCTCAGTTGTAAAATGCAATAAACTTGCAGAGGAGAGCAAAAATTATGAATTAGACTCTGTACACTGTACAAAAATATAAACGCAACACTTTTGTTTTTGCCCCTATTTTTCATGAGCTGAACTCAAAGATCTAAGACTTTTTCTATGTACACAGAAGGCCTATTTCTCTCAAATATTGTTCACAAATCTGTCTAAATCTGTGTTAGTGAGCACTTCTCCTTTGCCGAGATAATCCATCCACCTTACAGGTGTGGCATATCAAGATGCTGATTAGACAGCATGATTATTGCACAGGTGTGCCTTAGGCTGGCCACAATAAAAGGTCACTCTAAAATGTGCAGCTTTACTGTATTGGGGGGTCTGGGGGGGTCCGAAAACTAGTCAGTATCTGGTGTGACCACCATTTGCCTCACGCAGTGCAACACATCTCCTTCGCATAGAGTTGATCAGGTTGTTGATTGTGGCCTGTGGAATGTTGGTCCACTCCTCTTTAATGGCTGTGCGAAGTTGCTGGATATTGGCAGGAACTGGAACACGCTGTCGTATACGCCGATCCAGAGCATCCCAAACATGCTCAATGGGTGACATGTCCGGTGAGTATGCTGGCCATGCAAGAACTGGGATGTTTTCAGCTTCCAGGAATTGTGTACAGATCCTTGCAACATGGGGCCGTGCATTATCATGCTGCAACATGAGGTGATGGTCGTGGATGAATGGCACAACAATGGGCCTCAGGATCTCGTCACGGTATCTCTGTGCATTCAAAATGCCATCAATAAAATGCATTTGTGTTCGTTGTCCATAACATACGCCTGCCCATACCATAACCCCACCGCCACCATGTAAAATGCACCTGTGTTCATTGTCCATAACATACGCCTGCCCATACCATAACCCCACTGCCACCATGGGCCACTCGATCCACAACATTGACATCACCCACACGACGCCATACACGCTGTCTGCCATCTGCCCTGTACAGTGAAAACCGGGATTCATCCGTGAAGAGAACACCTCTCCAAAGTGCCAGACGCCATCGAATGTGAGCATTTGCCCACTCAAGTCAGTTACGACGACAAACTGCAGTCAGGTCGAGACCCTGATGAGGACAACGAGCATGCAGATGAGACTGTTTCTGACAGATTGTGCAGAAATTCTTTGCTTATGCAAACCATATATTTTTGTTCAGTATATATAGAACAACACTGCCAGAATCAAATAGCTAACTTGGAGTTTATGTTGGCATTTTCTGTCTAAAACAATGCTACCCAGCTGGGAAATGATTTCAGGTCAAAAATACTGTAGTTCCTAAGAATGCTCTGAACGATCAGCCATTTAACAAAACAAGCTTAAAATCACATCATTTTTTTCACACATGGTCTCTCAACTTCCTGATTACACCTTTATGATACTTTTTTTTTTTTTTACCCCCACAGAGCTATGCTCGGGGTTCAAACTTTCAATACTTCAGAGAGACTGTTGTGGTATGGAGGGTAATTTGACTTTTACAATCAATAGAAAACGAGTGGGACAGATGACAGAAGTTTCATCAATTAAGCCATCCTCACAATTTCTTTCTCTGTCCCACTGTTTGGTGTAAGGATAAGGATAGGATGTAAGGACGTTTCAGGGCAGCAGTGATAGACAGAATGAGCAGATTCTGAAAGATAGATTTGCGTCTGATGGCGAGGAAATGGATCATACTGAGGCATGCACTGCTATAGATGACTTAATGTTCATTCTCTCTGACTGGGCCTCTGAGTTTAGCATTTCCCTGGTTGCGCTGCAACAGCAACAAGTTCACCATCCCTCTCTGCCAAAAGATGGACGAACATTACTTAAAACTAAAACAACAGACTGTTCAATAATGTGTGGTCTGTTGTCCCAGATAGACATTCCTTTAAATTACAGCTGCATTTTGATGGTCTACGACAAGAGCAATTGATAAGCAGATTCTCTGAAATTGAGGAAGCCAGTTCCAACTCTGGTCTTTATTCAATATTATGAATCAGAACATATGGAAGGAGCAGTACCACAGTTTTTCATGGGAGATGTAAAACAGTCTGAAGTGTTGTCCATCGCTGGTGTGGTTATAAAAACTTCAAAGAGAGATTACTGCATCAGAATACACAACAGGTTGATTTTGGTTGAAAGAATTATTGTTGATAGGAGAGTGGAAGATATTGTTGGTTGAGAATTTAGATATCAGGAATCATTCTTTGAATACTCATTTGACTCTAAGGAGTTGGGAATCTTCATGGGTTCTAATTTGTCCATGACTGTAAAGCATTTTCAGGTAGTGGAGAGTGTAAGTCAGGCTGCCATTTCATGACAAGTTTATGACGGCTCATCTGCTGTTATACACAACAGGTTGATTTTGGTTGAAAGAATTATTGTTGATAGGAGAGTGGAAGATATTGTTGGTTGAGAATTTAGATATCAGGAATCATTCTTTGAATACTCATTTGACTCTAAGGAGTTGGGAATCTTCATGGGTTCTAATTTGTCCATGACTGTAAAGCATTTTCAGGTAGTGGAGAGTGTGCAAAAGTAAGTCAGGCTGCCATTTCATGACAAGTTTATGACGGCTCATCTGCTGTTAGTGTGTGTGTGTGTGTGTGTGATAGAGAGAGAGATAGTGTGAGTGTAAGAGTGAGTTTTATGTTTCTGCCCCTGCTGTTCCTGCACAAGGTTGCAAAATTCAAACACCAACATGTCTGCTCTCACATTCCTGCACATTTTACCCTCTGTCTTGTGGGAACCAAACTTTATTTTCTCATACTCTATCCCAGCTGCAAATTGGGGGAGGGACACAATAAATATAGCTTTGCCAGTGTGGTTCCTTATCACAACTGATTAAGATGGCCAAAAGATTCGCTGCTCAGAGGGACTTGGAATTGATTTTGGAAGAGAGTAGCTTATGATGATGTAGAGGAAGAGGTTTCAGAAAGTGAGGATCACATTTCTGAAAATTCAGAATTCGATAGTGACTTTGAAGAAGATGATGAGATTGTGCATCGGCTAGTTCCAAACAAGACAACCCACAGGACCAGCGCGTCAGCAGCCAGCTCCAGGACCAGAACAAGCCCCTCAGCAGCTCGCAAGTGAAGAAATATGGATGCCAAACAATTGTGAAATTGAATGGTCTTCTTGCCCAAGAAATGAACCACCCTGCATGGCTGCCAATGTGATAAGGATGCAACCAGGCCAAACACGGATGGCAGTTACTCATGTGCAGGACATCGAGTCTTCTTTTGAGCTTTTCATCCCAGATTCTGGATTGCACTAATTTAGAAGGAACACATGTTGTCGGAAAGCTGCGGCCACCAGATGTCGAATGACTGGTTGGTTTACAGCTAACCTGAGTTGTAACGTGTAATTTCTGCCGTAGGGCCCGGGAAGAGACCAAATGAGTTGAGTACAACATTAGGCAATCATTAAAGTCCAAGTGATTTTATTTCTGACAGTTGTCTCGTCACACGTGCTCCAACCAAATTTTAAATAAACAAAAATAAACCAACAAAAAATACTTAAATTAATTGTACATAACATAGAAATAAAACATGCTGAGAGCAGCAAAACAAGGCATTAGACCTGGGCCCCTGGGCTAAATTAAGTGCATTTTACTTAAGTAAAATTATCTGCCAGTGGTAATAAAAATAATCTTAATGCAAATGGTAAAACTAGTCTGTTACGCGATTGACCGGGTTTGAGTCTGGCTTTGGCCAAGCTCGCTCATCTCACTTTTCCCATCACATAAGAATTTATTTTCAATAAAAATGAAGAAAATGTTCTAAAAGTACAAGTAAAGTGCCTAACGAGTGTTTAATAATGATAAAAGTATTTATAATTGCAATAAATATAATCATTTACACTGTTATTATTGCATCCTGTTAATGTACAACAATACTGAGGTGCAAATAGTAAGTATCTGCCAGTATAAATAGCATCTAATTATTATTTACACTTATTGCAAATAACTGCTACTTTTCCATGGTAAATAGAATATATCACAATTTTTTTACTAAGTGTAAATAGCATCTAGAGCTATTTGCACTTAGCCTACTGTAAATAGGATCTATCGCTAAGAAAGTATGTTAATTCAACTTAGTGTAAATAGCCGCTGCCGTATTTTTCTTACCCTATTGGCAGATCATTTGTAAAATAAGAAAAATGCACTTAAATTATTATTATTATTATTTTATATATTTATATATTTATATATTTATTGCCCGTGAGATTTCATGAAAATGAATAGCCTATTAGTTCAATAACCTTCCGTTCTCCTGTGATATTATGACAGTGATAAGAATTAAACTTGTATTGCGTCTGAAGTATGCAGACGTCTTTTTGATGGGAGCTGTTGCCATGGTGAATTGTAACATCTGAGCTCCATTGATCATGGCTTTTCATAGTCGTGGTGCACGCGCTAAACTCAGAGTCAACCTACTCAGAGTTGACTGAACTTACACAATTCAGCTGTTCTGAACCCGAAAACTCCGATTTCCCCATCTCAGAGTAAGTCAACTCAGAGTTCAAGTTTTAACTCAGCATTGGTTGAACCTCATTGAAACGGGCCCCTGGCCATGACAATTTAGTCTCACTTCAGACATACACAGATTACCAGCGTTTGGCTTCACATGCTACAGCACTTGGCCATCCATGTCCCCACTAGCCTGTCCTTACACACAGAGCTATCACTTGTATGCAATCTTCCTGCCAAACACTAGCGGATCATACCAACTATAGGGGTACATTAACTCTCATTACAAAGAATAAACATTTAGTTCAGCATCAGTGCTATCACATACACATTTAAACACGCAATCATGATCATGAATATTATCATTGGTCAAATGCAAACAATACACATTCCAAATAATACAAACCATTTCAAAGCATCTACAAACATCTCTGTCCTAGTAAATGGACTAACCACTAATTAACAGAGTAAATCTGGATATTCACGTCATCAGAACACTCCCCTCCCAAACACAGGACCAGGGGTGTATTCCAGAAAGCACGGTTAACTTACCGTCAGCTAAACCCTGAACTTTT